AATTATAAATAGTTATAATTTTAAAAATTTCTAATACTGTTGCTATTAACATGCTCAATTATGGTTCATCTGTAATGAATTTTTAATGTATATTCTTATTAATTTTTTTTTTATTTCTTTACGTCTTGGAGGAAATAAGAAGTTAAAAATTTTATGCATTTAGGTGTTCCCGTGATTTATTCATAAACGCGAGCCAAATTTCTTCACACAAATATTCATGGCCCTCATATTTCCACGCACAGCAATTTGCAACGTTACATACCGGGTTTTGCAAACCAAAAGATGAGGAGCGATGCGAAGGAGCAAATCTTCACTTTGCGCCATTTATCACCCGGCTGGGCCTGAACAAATTGCACTGCGCAAACACAATTTGCGCTGCGAATTCCGGCGAGTGTGCTTCATACCTCCGTACGCCGTTTCTACCCACGCACGGTCGCCCAGGCCATTTTTTGCCGTCGCGAAATTGCACAGATCCGCGGCCATTTCTGACCGCAAACCGTCCTACTCCATTTGCCATACAGATTGCACTACGTGAATTGCGGAAAAGGAAAATAAAAGAAAACTGTTTCGTGCAGTTTCGGCCTCCGCTTGTTTTTGTTTGGCCAATCCTTTACGATTTGATTATATTACCATCTCCATTATTGTCAATTGCCTTTTTACTGGCGTCCCCCTTCCGAACCCAGAAAGGCATAAGGCATTACTGCGCATATAAATGCCCAAGTGCCCACTTTCGTTCGAGCGCAAAATAAACTCGCCGCTGGCCATTTTATAAGCACTGATGTTATGGGTTTGTGCAGCCTGGTCCCTATTTTCCCAAGTCTTATCTATAATCAAAATATTGCAAATTGCAATAAAAAATATTGATATAAAATTATGCTCTTTTAAGGTCAATACGAGGTCAGATCCATTCTAAATTCTAAACAAAACCAATTATTGCAGCTAGCAAAATATTTGTTCAAATAATTTTTTAAATGTTTCAGAGTTAAAAAATTTGCAGAAAAAAAATATTTCTTTAGTTCCTATAATACATAATTCATAATATATCTATTTTTTTTATAGATGCTTCAATTTTATCAAAATAGTAGAAATACAAAAATTAAACTTTAATTGAAATAACCCTCCTCCTAATAAATAATCGCTCCTCTCTCACACTTTTTAAATGAGTATTCTATCCAATCATTACTTTGCCCTGAGCAAACTTGGCTCACTCAAGATAAGTTTTACTCGCAAATTGTAACCTACTTCCGCTTCCAATTGAATTCGCGCTGTGAAATGAATCGCAATCTTGTGTACTGGATACAATTTTTCCCTTTGTATTGTATATTAGAATCTGAATAACCCTGCTGCTCTGTCGCTTCAAAACTACTTCGTTGCCTTCATTGGCCGCAGTGCCGGTCTGTGTGAGCGAGAACGAAAAGAGGATTCTTTCCTACATTTCATTCTATTATTTAATACCTAGTATATGCACGAGTTTCACCGCTGCGCGCTTTGTTGAAAGAGAGGATTAGTTCTCACGGGCGCTTTATTGCGAGCTTCGTGGAATGAAAGTACTGACGCTTTTTCAATTTTTCCTCATTGTGAAATATTTCGCAAACTTTCTGCTAGGTTATTAAACGCTCAAAGGAAGCAAAATAGAGAAAAGTAATTAGCTGATGCTGATGTTAATAATGTAGTAATTGAAAATAAATTTCACACAAGGTAAATTGGCTGTTCTACTTTTGTTCTGGGTTCTGGCCTAGAAAGTTTTGCTAAGCCATACAATGTATATTTGTTGGATTTAATAAGATATTTAAAAAAAATGTTTATTTTTAGTTTACGAATTAACTTGAAATGGATTAATTCGTTTCAAATTTTAATATGTTTATGAAAGCTCTTATCCCCTACAATTTTACTATGCAAAATTAGTAAAGCCATGTCAAATTCATGCAATTTCAAGAATCTTTACAATTATTTTGAATTATCTCAGATCTCCATTCGGTTTCATGTGCAAAGATTTGTTACTTTTAAATCTAAAAACGTCACCAATTTAAAATAACTCATTCTGCACTCTCTAAGGAAATGGAGCAGCTAAAAACATTTGTAAAAACATTATCAATATTATGTTTTCAAATCGACTGTCAAGATTTCTCGGAACAGACACACCACATGAGTAACCCTTTTGGCAAACTTTCGAGTGCGGCAGAGCGTACGTGTTGCCAACGGCAGCGGTCGGCAACAAATCGCCAAAATTTGATTAATCCCCTGCTGCACAAATAGAGCAAATAAGACGGGAGCACATTCGTCGGCAACGTTTCTGCGTAATGTAACGCAATTTGTTGTCGGCGGCGGCACACGCCAGCCGCAATAATGGAATTTGAAATACGGTGGCCGCTCTATGGCCGTGCTTGTGAGCCCTGCTTGTCATATATAGGGCGAAAGAATAACAGCCTGTGTTGCAGGCGGAAAAGGTCGGCCCAGGCCTGATGAGAAACGGACCCGCTCGGCCAAGATGGAGTGGCCCTCGTATATTTTCGCGTGGCTGCCGCAAATATTGTTTTATCTGGGACAAAAGCAAAGCGACGAGTCTGATGCAGCAAAGGGACTCACGCGTCAAAATATTATTCAACTTGGACCTTCAGGGGCATAAAATCCGAGCTGGTCAGGTTTTGCATTTCAAAGGGGATTAGTAAAGAAGTTTTTTACATCCTAACGTAAGCGCAATCATCTCCATTTCCGATATGATCACCACAAATTTTATGCAATTAGTCTACAAGAATAATTATTCAACAATTAAGAATATTTAACTGATTTTGATGAGATTTGGAATTACATTTTTAATTGACATCATGTTCTCTTAATTTGCTCAAATTAAAATATTAATTTCTGACTTTTATTATTATTGTTGCATTATTGATTGAAGTTATTGAAAAATACGAAATCATTCTGCAAACATTTTTAAAAATTTAAGTTTATTTTAGCTTTTTAATTAAATAATAAAATAGTATACATAATATTAATAAATGACGGTCATTAGTTTGTTAATTGATTTTATGCTAGAATTTGTAAAATATTTATTTGTTCTGTACAATATTTTTTGTCTATTATAAAAACTCCTGTTTGGAATGGGACGTAGTACAACCTTGCATTATATATTCTAAAAGTCCAAAAACCAATCAAGCCGAATGGCAGAGGCAAGTCCTCTTTGTACTTCCCCTTTGAATCATTACCGAGTCAACCCTTTCCCGGCAAATATATATATTATGCAAACGTGTTCCCTTGATGTGTTTATGTCAATATTTTCTCATTCAATGACGAATGAGTCAAAGAAAGCTGCAGCTTTGAAGTTGCAGGGAAAAAGAGCACCCAAGTCGGCCCACGAGTTCGTTAAGATCAATCTTTCTCGGCGGGAATTCGCAGACTTCACAGGAATAATGACGGCGACGTTGGCCTTAAATTGGATGCTGCAGGAAAAATTTGTGCCACGTCAGCTGGATATTGCACTGCAGCGGAGGTTCGTTTATTTTGTGGGACCATGAAAAAGTCGAAAAGGCTCGCTGCGTCGCACTAAAATATGCCAGAGGGCTGCTCGAGTAATAAAAGGACCAGTCATATTAGTTAGAACTTTGAAATGCAAATTCCTGCAGCTCTGTAATGGCAATGCCGCAGTGACAAGAAAGTTGCTATTGAAAATAATAAATCTAATTTAAAATGTGAGTAAATGTGGAATATATTATTGCTAAATATTTTTTTTAACCAAGCTTCAATTTCTGTAATGTAAAATATTCATATTGTTATTGTTTCAGTTCAGTGTCGCAAACAACGGAAGTAAACAATCACAAAATGAATTGGCTTTCTGCTATTGGGAAAGGAAATACAAGCAGTTATTTACTCCCCTGTGACATTTCCTGCTTTACAGTTTTGTTTGTTCGGCCGGCTCGCTATAGAAACAATCGCAAATTTTATTGCACGCTTTTCCGCCTAAAAAACCGCACGAAAACTTTGCAGTTGGTGGAGCCCAGTAGGAAAAAAGGAAATAATATAAATACACACACAGGAGGAAACACTTTTGTCGGAGGTAATTACGGTGCTGCCTCTTTTGCGCCGACACCTCTGTTTCTCACAAAAGCGCCAGTGGTGGTTGAAGCGAAATCTTGACAAAGAATGCTAAAAATGGCGTCGACCACGAGCATTTTGTTAATTAGCGCACCAAGTCCGCCTTCTGGCTCTCTCTCTTTTTGCAGCCCATCATTTACTTGTCTTCGTTTCCTCATTAAGCAAACCAAAAGAGAGCGAAGCCGGCAAAAGGATTCGTTTGTGCAGAACAAGCGTCTAATTTGCATTGTTCCGCATTAAAATAAATCCGCTGCGAGCGCGCCGGAGAGCTTTTTTACCGTGAGGTGAGGATGGGATTTGCATTTTTGCCGTGTTTTTCCTCTCTTGATTCTGAATAATGAATGCCACTCTACAATTTCAAAATGTTCACATTTTGTGAACCTCTTTGCGCTTTAGTAAAACAACTTACTTAATAAAAAATTTAAAGAAAGGAACATTAAAAATATAAAACACTTCAAAGTTGGATGGAGTAAATTTATGATGGATTTTGTAAATAATAAATAAATTTGCTGATGAAATTGAATACTTGATTGTGTTTGCTTCCACTTACGGAGAAAATGTTGAAAATGGAGAAAGTTTTGTTTCTGAGGAAAATTTAATGCTGTTTAAGTTTCAGAAAAAAAATGACTTATTTCTTTTTAAAGCACCAAGTTCGTATTTTTTGTGGATTTTCAGTTCCAAATAATAAAAATAAATCAATCTAAAACTTTCTAGACTATCAACTGCAAGATATAAATTTAGCTCAGTTTTAACGTTTTTGCGGTTGACATAAAATTTTACACTAATTGTAAGCCCACGTGCATCGGTTATGCTTAATTTGCTTATATTATCATTCATGATTCGACGAAAATTTATTTTTACTCATTTTATCTCCTTATAAAAAAAATCAAGGTTTTTTTTTTACTCACCGTGAACATCGACGCATCCGACCTGCTTCTTCATGATGTTGGTGTTGATCTGACACATGTAGCACCCTCGGTCAGCCTCCTTGACCTGCTTGATGTGTAGATTCCACGTGCGGTGGTTGTCGTGGGTCACCGAGATGCGCGAGTTGTGCGTCACCACCTTGTTGTGCAGCGTCAGAATCGTCTGGTCCTCCGCTCGAAGCCAGCCCACCTGCCAAAATAAAAATAAATCAACAAACACAATAATTGCTGCCGTAAAAATAATGTTTATTTGGCGTTGTTTGGTTGTGTTTGTTTGACAAACACGCTGCTTTGTTTTGACGCCGTCCTTTAGCAATGTACTCACAAGTCAGTTTGCCAAACGCCAAATAAATAATTAGTGTGGTTCCTCGCTATATTTGTCTTTTGTCATTATTTGCGTGATTCAAACTCCGTCAACAAAAAATATCATAAAGGAAAGAGCAGAGCGTGTGATATTTAAGATAAAATAACTCACATATTTCATATTCAGAAAGTAATCATTAATTGCTTGTCTTACTAATATTTAATTGTATTTAACAAACAAGGAAATTCTCATTCAAGGTTTGATCATTTACATTTTGTGAAATTTGGATCTTCCTTAAGGCGCCAAACTTATGAGTAGGAACATTGTTGTTTGCACTTTGTAAATAATATAATACAAACATTATTCTCATTAAATTTAGAGAGAGGAAAGTTTAATTAAATGGCGAAATCGTGCTTAAATTAATAAAATTAAAACACAGTTTTAGATTTCTTTATAAACAATAATATGCAGGGCAAATTTTTTTTTAATTATTCAGTCAAAGTTTATTTCTTGGAGAATTTAATTTTAAGCTTCAAAAACGTTTAATGCATCTATTAATTTACGAACTAGTTGAAATTTAGTTGAAAAGAGTATTATTTTTCAAAATAACAAAAAAATAATTAATCAATTGATAAACTGAACATTTGAAAAATGAAGCAAATACTATCAAATATCAAAATTATTTGACCACGCATTGTGTTCTGATGTGTTCAATAGCATTAAATTTAATTATATATTTCTCATGATCTGGGAAGATTATTTATGATTGTAATTATTTAAAATGTAATTTTATTGAACTACAATGCTGCCTCTATATTATCAGTAAAAAGATGAAATTTATCGCGTATATATTAACGATAAAGTATAATATCTTTTGGCAAATTCATCTTATAGCACTGCCTCGCAATCACTTTGCGCGCCCACGCCACTTTTCTGATGCGCCCTATTGACGCGCCCGCACCACACATAAAAGGTGTGAATGTCGATCGCTCGCTTTTTGCGTTTAAAAGCCGAAAATAGCGTGTTGAATGAACTTCCACCGCAGCCCTATATACCACCACTAGCTGCATTGCCGACGAGCAATCAATAGGCGAATTGTGTTGCGCGTCGCTTCAAAAGCATCAACGCTGCAGGCACTACAATATATGCAAAAAAAAGTAAATGGTGAAAAGGGAGAGCAAGCTAGTGGCTTGCTCCTTTATTGATTGTACCTCGACGGAGGAAAAAATAGTGCTGACAAAAGCGACAGTTTTGCGTAATGTTCTGAAATCCATTTATCCTGATTGTTCATTGTTAAATTTTTTCCATCAATCTTAAGTGTGATTCCACACAAAAAAATAAAAAAAGAGAGAAAAAACCAATTTTTTACGGATGCAAATAGTCGTCAATTTGCAATCTTTTATTTGTCTTATCAGAAGGAATTCATTAATTTTAAATGAAATTTTATACGGATTTTAATTAATTTATAATTAATAATTAATTTAATTTAAGACCAAAATTCCGTAAGATTTTGTGAAAATTTTTTATTTTAATAAAAAAAAAATTAATTTTAAATTTATAGTTTTCACATAAAATTTGACTTTGTTGTTCCATGTTTGGAGAAAATAATGTTAGTTTTTAAGCAGGATCTTATTTAAAAAATTTCAATTACAATTACAAAATATATTATCCAGTTCATGAACTTTTGGAAACTACATATCTTTGCTTATATCTTTAACACTCACCAGATCTTAGTTCATCAAGATTTCCGGGACACGTGCACACACATAAATATGCAAATGATCACATTAGCTGCGCCTCTTTGACTGACAAGTTTAGTTTGCTCAACGAGAATCCATTCGACGCCACCTGGCGCGTGCGAGTTGCTGCTAAAGAGCTGCTCCTAGGCGCCAGGCTCGATACATCCGCGCCCTCTCATTTATGCAGGCAGAGCAAACCAAATAAGAAATGCAAACAAAGGGGAGAGAAATTGTGCTCGATGCTCTCCCTCGGATTGCAAAACTACTGCATCGTGCACGGGAGCTGAGCGCTAATCCGGTGGATGCCCCAGGTGCGCGCCGAATTTTCCTTATTTCACTCTGGGCACCGATCGCGCGTGAAAAATTCGCCACCGCGGAAGGATTGGCCATCAATCTTGCAGCTCGGTCTGACCCAATTTCGCACAAGTTTGGCAGCCGGAAAATCAGAAAGTCAAACAAGAATTATTTGTTTTTAAAGAAATTTTTTTCCTAAATAATAATTTATGCGTACGTTTCAAATAAAAATATTCATATTTTAAAACTATCAACTTGATTGTATTGATCATTTTGGATTTTTTTTTTTTTAAATAAGAAGAAATCTCACAGTAAATTAGTTTAGGGGATACAAGCATTATTGAACAAATCAATATTACCTAATAATACATAAAAAATGCATAAAAAAATAATAGTATTGCAAAGTAAATCATGATTGTTTAATTGACACACCATCAATGGATTATCATTGTTGTGTTCTGGTGTTCAGTTATAGAGAAAAAACTACGGCAGAAATAAAGTCAAGTCAATACGATACATTGAAGAAAAGCTAGTTTTACTTCCACTTTCGCTCAAGCAGAACACATAAAAAATGCAATAACAAATAAATCACTAATTTTATTTTATTATCAAGCATAATTGCATGTTTCCATGATTATTTATTAATTATTTATTTATTAAATTCTAGGATGATGTGAAAATCTGAACAGATCAATAAATACATAATGATATTGAATTATTTATAAAAATTTTTTTCAAAATATTACACTAATTAATATAAATTTTAAATTACGCACAGCTTCATAAATTCAACATGCCAATAATTTAATCTCATTAATAATAAAAAATGACGTAATTTTCGAAAGAATAAAAGATTTAAAAAGAAAAAAAAGTTTTCTTTCTAAGTTCATTCAATTAGAGAATGAAAAATATATGAACCAATTAAGCAAATTGCCAATTTTTTAACGAATGACGGTGGATTTTCCTTAAAATTTTTTTCTTTTCCTTGCAGATTAATCTTTCTTTCCTTCCGAGGAGAAAAAGTGCTTGAGCTTTTCAAGATTCGCATAAATCACGGTTTGTTTGTTCAGTCAAGTGCAAAATTATAAGGATCCAGTAGCATTGTGAAAGTTAGCAACTTTCCGTTCAAATCAATGCTCGGCCGAATCGACTGCTACATGGGAAAATAATTTTCCAGCGCGATAGCTGCGAATATTGAAATTGATTTTCAATAATTGAGCCCAAGAGGCTCATTAATTGGCGCGGGTGAGCTCGCATATAATAATAATTCACCACTACCTCTGCCCGCTATCCCAGTATCATTATGTACGTGTGTGTGTGGGGCGGTTGGTACATAGGGCAGTGATGAATTACGCCGCGCCGTGTTCGCTCTTTCGTCTTATAGAATTTCAATAAGCTCCCGCAGGAAAAATCATGCGAGACGCTGCCGAACGGTTTTTTCCTCGCCGCTCTCATTTTGAAAAATATATCGAGACACGCGGTGATTAATGACCTTGTTTCTGATCGTTCTCGCCTCTAATATTTTCGTCGCAAATTTTCGTACAAAAGCCCTTTGTGGCGCGTCAGTTATTTACGAGCGGCAAATTAACACCGATAATCTGTGAATGGGAAAAGCACGCTGGTGAGGGAGGCGGTTGGCACAAAAAAAAAGGGAAACGCGAGCGACCAATGAGTGATGACTGCTCCATTTTTCACGAGAGCTAACCGACATTGTCGAAAGCGTGCCCAATCAGTTTCCCATAAAGTATGTGCTGGATTTTCGAGGAAAGTTTTGCATAAAAGTGCTTTTAAGTAGTTCACAATGCGAGCTGCCACTCCAAAACGGGGAAAATGCTTAAGTCATGTGCGAGAGCTTTTAATTGCAGAGAATTGAGGAATGAAAATTAATAGGGAATAATTTAAATACAAAATTTGTGGTTTCTTATCGGTTAATTCGATTTAATTATAATCTTCGCCCCCCTCTCCTTGCTTTATATTTATATTTATTTGTTCCTTTCAGGGCCTCACTAGAGTCTCTAGAATTAATATTTATTCCTAAATTCCGTTAAGAAGAATTTTTTTGTAACTGATTTCGAAATTGCGATCCAAAACTGCACGCTCAAAATGGTTAATTTCATCAGGAGTTGAAATTATTTTTACTTCCAAGTGTATAATTTTTTACTGAATTTTTACAGTTCCAATTAACGAAACAGTTAAATAAAGTCAGTTCAGATATGCACTTTTAATTAGATTCAAACAATTGAAGCACCCTCAGCTAGCTTGGAATGCGGAAAGTTCAAACCATGCATCGCTATTTTCCACTTCACTTGATAGTTCTTCATCACTACTGGTTGAGTCTCACAAACAACACTGAAGCAGACAAATTTGCACATTATCAATATTGTTCGTGGAAGTGCTTCAGTATTCACTTGATCTAGGAACAGGTGAAAAAGTCAATTGAAATTTTTTGAAATAAAAACAATCTAATTTTTTTCTTTCAAGGAAAACACTGTGGAAAAAATATTATTTTTAAACTATACATATTACTTGCAATTAAAGATTGGTTTTTCTTCATAGCTTCAATTTTTTTTTTCATTTTAGTGATTCAAAAAGAAACCTTAATATTATGAAGATTCAAAACGAGACAGTAATTTTTTTGTAACAAGAAATAATCTAAAAAGCTTAACAATTTATCGCAGTTTATTTTACCAATAAATTTCTGCTAAGAACATAGCACATAAATGCCAGGAAAAACGATTCACTTCCTCGAAACCAGATGCAGAAACGAATGCCGTGCACAGTGTTTAATCTTGCATGCATTTTGCCCCACGTTTTCCGTTCTTTGAAATATCATCAGTCGGATAATCTTTCATA